ATGTGAGTGTTTAAGACTTGTGGGAGAAGGAGGAAAAGGCAAGAGCTCGCCAAGGAGAGCCTGGGGCTCCGAGATCTCTCGCGGCTGCGGGGGCTCTGGCTCAGCCCCGCCGATCCCGGATCCTCGGTGGCTTCCCCGGGACCCTGGCTCCCCAACACCCTCCGCTGGGGCCCCAGGCCTGGGTCGACGCGGAGATGCAGCTCTTTTCGGAAACAGGTGAAGGGCGGCGGCGGCGGAGGGGGCTTCCAATGGGCGCGTCAGGGCGCCGGGCTTTGTGTGGGTCCGGTGCTCGGAAGGAGGTTTGCAGCCCGGGGCCAGGCGGAAGCCCGAGTGCGCCCGGCGGGCGCCGCGCCTGGGAGGGGTGTCGGGCGGGCGTGAGAGCGCAGACTAGGTGGATCGCGTGTGTGCCAGCACTTGGGCTGCAGACGGAGCGGAGCTGGCTCCCGGGGCGGAGGCCCGCGGCGAGCCGGGCAACCGGATATTGAGTCTGTAGGAAGGACCTTGAGGTCTGAGTGGTGTTCGGGTGGCCGCGGCGGCGGTCCACAGTGTGCAGCTCGCAGTGCGTGGGGCGCGGCGGTCCTCGTGGGCGAGGCAGCAGGCCCCGCACACCTCCGCAGGGGCAGGGCCGTGGCCAGGACGTGGGAACCGAGGCCAACCCAGGCTCAGAGCATGCAAAATAAAGGCAGTTAAGGGTCTTTCTTTCTTTCTTTTGCACATAAGGATGTCTTTTCTTTTTTCTCTCTTTCGGAGATACCTGGATTGGGTCCAGAACAGGTTGCCCGCGGGAGGGCCCGTGAGCGGCAGCGCGCGAGGGAGGGAGAGAGGGAGGGAGGGCGAGACAGAGGGAGGGAGGGAAGGAGGGCGGGCGGCGGCGGCTGCGGTGGCCGGGGCTTCCCTCCCCGGGCGGGAGGCGGCTGCCCTGCATCTGTGGCCGTGGGGAGCCGAGGAGCAGGTAACGAAGGCGCTTCCCGAGGCGGGATTGGACCAAGCCAGAGGGACCCAGTCCTCCAGGTCTCTGTCCAACGCCCTGGAGGGGAGAGAAGGTAGGGAGATCGGCGCCCACCGGCCTGGCAGAGAGGCCTCAGGGAATGTTGAACCTGTATTTGATTTCAGGCTCACACTCATGTTGTGAGTCCGTCTGCCTCTGGAGATGCGGTTTGCCTGTCTGTCTGTCTGTCTGTCTGAGCCGCCCCACACCCTAGGCTCTCCTTCCAAAGGCTGAACAGTTTGGGACAATTGGTCGGAATGTGCACTTTCATTCATTGCCTTCTCTGCAACTCAGTGGGGCTGGTGGCTGTGCCCCTAAGTTGGAAGGGAGCTTGAGCCCAGCCTCCTGGAAGCCAGATCCTCTGGTTCCCTCCGCCTGGGGCTGAGTTCCGGCTCCAGGTTCGCGGGTTGCCCTGAGGTTGGAGGCCAGACAGCTCCCAGTCGCGCAGGGAGGGCGGGGGAGAGACTAGCGGCTCTGGCCCCTTAATTGTACCCGTATTGTCTCTCCTTTCGCCACCTCCGCTTCCGCAGTCTGGGCTCCAAAGTCACTGCAAATTTCCTTGCGACACACACATCACAGAAAGATCAGGTAACAAGTCGCCAGGGCCATGGGGCTCCAGGCAGGGAGCACCCCTAGCTCCGGGGCCCTCCCCCTCCAGCCACTCCCCAGGCTGGGAAGCGAGACCGGTTGGGGGAGCCGGAAATAGCCCCGTTTGCTGCCGGGCGGCGGGGCAGGGGGCCGGCGGGCGTGCAGGCCGTGGCGTTGAGAGGGCCAGGTTCACAGGCCCGAGGGGGTTCGCTCCTGCAGGGCGGAGGGGCCGGGCTCCTGGCGCGCGGGGATCCCGATACCCACCTGGGGTGGGGGCAGGACGCGGTCTCCTCGCGGCAGGCCAGGAGGGCTCCGCTTCTGCTTCCAGCGCAGGCCTTAGCCAGCAGGAGTTGTGTGTGGGTGTGTTTTCCCCAACAAAGAGGGACCAGGAGAGAGAAGGGGGGAAAGTAGAGGGGAACCAGGGAGGGGGCGGGGAGGGGGAGAGGGCAGCGAAGAGGTGAAATGAGCCCATTTCAGGGGGAGATGGAAAATGAAAGCAAATGGAGCACAGCCTCCTCCTCGCGGGCGGTGCGGACGAACCCGGGAGCGGCCTCCCCGCCTGCGGCGGCTGGGATAGCCCGCTGGGGGCACCGGGGAAGCCTGTTTTAAATTTAATCCGAACTTGACGGTGTGGATTGAACCGGAGGGAATTTAAATCACTAAAAAGGAGGCGCAGGGCGAGGGGAGAGGATGCCTCTAACCTGTCTGCCTGTCTGCCTGTCCTTCCCACGGCGGTGCTGGCTTGCTTGCAGTCTTAGCTGCCCAGGTTTGAGGTGATGGATAAGGCTGCCCCTCCCCCTTAGGGGGCTTTCCTGGGCCCAGTGGGATCTTTGGGCGGTGGAGAGGAGTTCTAAGAACCAGAGTAAGGGCAGAGCTGCGAGCTGAAGCTGGGGTGACCCTCTCCACAACAGGGGTTCCCAGTGGCCTCCCATCTCTTGAGTTTCCCCCACTTGCGCTGAGGAAAATTGAAGGGGTGAAAGGGAGTCTTGGAATCTGCCAGGGGATTCAGTAGGAGTAACTGACCCTGGGAAGACAAGCCCCTCCTTCGTGGTGTCCCCACATCCTGTGTTCCCGTCCCTAGAGGCCTGGATTTGGGGGAGCCTGAAAATCTGCTTCAGAGCCTTGACCTGCCACCCTACCTCCAAACACAGAGAATGGGGGTACAGGCCATATGCAGTTGTGGAAGCACAGGGACCTGGGCCTGAACTCAGGGGCTCCCAGCCTCTTCCAGCCCCCCCTCCCCCCTCTCCAAGGCCAACTCTCTAAGCAAGGCCTAGGCAAAATGGGGTATTGGTGGGGAGGGGGCTGTGGGCGAGGCCTACTTCCTGATCCACAGCTCTGTCTATGCCTGAGTAGGGAGGGTCTGAGTTCACGCTCTATAACTAAGGTGACAATCTCCCCCCAGTTTCATGGGGAAATTGACAGCAGCAGGGAGTGTGGGCCGAGGATTTCAGCTGTGATTTCAGCTGCCCCATGCTGCTGCCTCTGCCGGTTGGGCAGGGCTGGAAAAAAGGCAGTGGCCAAAGAGGCTAGGAGAGAAAGGGGCATCTGCTCGAAGCCACTCTGCGTGAGAGCTCTCCCCCAAAGCAGAAGCCCATAGAAGAGGTTCTTCAGGGGGATCTTTCTCCTAGGAAAGCTGAAATTGGGGCCGATGGGCCCTGTGGCCCGGCAGAGATGCAAAAGAGGAGCAGGGCGTGAAAACTCCTTCATCATGTCTTCTTTGCTCCTTGACTAGAGCATGGCTCAGCCCCAGCTGCCTGGAAGGCTGCCTGGGCTGAAATGGGGTTCTATATCCCAGGAGCCTAGTGTACCCACAGGAGCAGGACGCTGGGAAGGGCAGGAGAGAAGGCCTCTTCCTCCTTTGTGTCAGGACAGAAGTGGCCGCTGTGCCTGGAGCCTGTCCCCGGCAAAGGCCCGGCAAGCAAGGGGACTGCACAATGCCATGGCTGCTCCGCCAGCTCTCTATCCCATCCTGCCTGCCTATCACCGCCCTTCCTCTGTCTTGCTCTCTGCACGCCTTCCTTTCCCTGCTCTCCTATCTCTTTTCATCTTGCCTCCCCTTTTCTTTAATTCGTCCCTCGCTCCTTCTTTTAAGCCTAATCCCCCGTTTCCTTTCCTTCCCTCCCTCCTTCCTTCCTTCCTTTCTATGGGCCTGATGCCCTGTGTGTTTCAGTTTTTCGGTCTCAGGCTGTCTCGGGCTCAGTCTCTCTCAGGCTCTGTCCCTGATGTCCTCTTGGTCACAGTCTGGCCCCAGGCCCGCCAAAGGCTACATGTCTGCCAGCAGCCGCCCAAGAGCTGGTCAGGGTCCCCAGCCGCCAGGGCTGGGGGAGGTGCTGACGGCGCTAGGGATTTGGAGAAAGCCTCTGCAGGGGGACTGGAACCTCTTGTCTTTTCCTTGAACTAGTGAGGGAGAATTTTTGATTGACAGCTAACCCAACTCCATCAAGGCCAAAGAGATACTCTGTTTCTTGCTGTTATTTGGATTTTCCAAATCAGTTTAGTCTGGGGGAGGGGAAGATAATCCAATCAGAGCCGAGGGTGAGGAGGTTGAGGCCCCCGGGTCTGTTCTCCCCAGCCCTTAGGCACTTCTCATATCGTCCCCCCCTTTCGTAGAAATCCCAGCCCCGCTTGACCGAAGGGAAAGAGCTGGAAAGGGGGAGGATCAGGGACGGGGGATGGGGCCTAGAAAGCTGGGGTGAGTGTTTGGACTTCACATCTATTCTTCCCCCCCTCAACTTTCCTCCTCCCCCCAACATACATACTACACTCTCTGGGACACCTCTCTCCAGTCCTTCTCGGCCCAGAGGAGACAGGTTGGCCTAGGTGCAGGAGAACCGCCTGGGCCCCCACCCTGGCATTTGTTTGGTCCCCTCCTGGGGACAGGAGTGGGAACGAAGAGCAGGCATCTCTGATCTGGAAGCTCCTTCCTTCCCTGCTGCTTCAGAGCCTCCTCTCAGCCTCAGCTCCTGCCTTCTTCTTCTCGCACAAACTGGGACTCTTTCCTTCTGACCCTGAAATTGCACCCCTCCTTCAGACTCTCTCTGCCATGCCTAGGGTGCATCTGCCTCTGGGGACATCACCTGCTCTTCTCCCCCACCAGCCAGCCTTCCTGCCCCCTCTTTTGCACTCATACTGAGAATTTCCTGCTTGTCCAAAGCCACCTTTACTAAGCCACCGTGGGACAGTCCCACGGAAAGCAGAGGACTGGGTACCAACCCCCGAATTCAAACAGGAGGGTAACAGCCAACTTATTGGGGGAAGGAAGCCTAGTTGTCTGTTCTTCCCTACAATCACACGGCTTCTCCAGAATTCCTGTGTCCGATCCCAAAGAAACTGCTTTCTCCCAGCCCTCCGTTGCCTTTTTCCCGTTCCAAAAACAGCCTACAATTTTATTTAATGAAAGACACATTTATGAACAATCAAATGATCCTCATAAAATTTTTATTGAAGGACGTAAAAACAAGCTACTTGCCCACGACTGAGGTCGCTCGCTTGCCTTGCCCGGTCTCACCCTGGCTCTCTGCAGACAGAACCCAGGGGTGACTTCTTTTTTGGGGGGGTCAGGGTGTCCCAGAGATGGAATTGGGGCCAAGGTGGGTGAGCAGGAAAATGGGAGGAGGTTGCCCCACTTAAGTTGTGTAGATCTCTCCTCCACTTCTTCCAGCTGGCAAAAAAAGAGAGAGATAGATATAGACAATAAATTTAAAATAGAGGTGCTTGCATATCTGTACCGAAGCAGAGAGAAGACTTTTGATGCTAAAGGTGTCTGAGGTCCAGAGGTCCTACCCCTCCCACCCGCGGACCACCTTCCCTACCCTTCCCCTGCCCCATATTTGGGGGGCTGAGTTGGCCAGGGCAGAGGCACTCTCCCCTTTCTCTCCTTCCCTCCCTCCACCCCAGCTCCTCCAGTCCCCTCCCACCCTCCCTCTCTCGCTGCTGCGGCTCCTGAAAGAAATACATACATACACACTATTTAAAAACGCATTTTTAAAAGCCACGTTCCGAACTGACAATCGCTGATCTCGGCTCGCGCAGAGACTGCGGGAGCGTCGGGCCGACAGAGACAGATTACGTCAAGAAATAGTTCCTCCACCTACCTCGGCGGCCGCGGTCCCCAGGCTCCGGCGCCCAGCTCCGCCCCGGGGGTCCGGGGACCCTGGCTCCGGGGCTGGCATTTTCACCCCATTGAGAAATCCTCCTGGGGGCGGGGGCGGGAGGCCATCTGCTTATGGGTGGACCTGGGCAAGGGGGTTCTCTGCTGAGAGACGAGTTGTCCTGAGGGGGTGACGGATGCCTTGGGTCCAGAGCTCCGGACCCCCAGGAAAACGCAGGTCGCGGGGATCAGCAGAGAAGGGGGTGGGAGAAGGTATAAAAAAAAAAAAAAGGCAAGGGGAAAAAAAAAAAAAAAGCCCCTGCGCATTGATCCGCGCCGTATTTTTGGGTAAATACGATCACGTGGGGGCCGGGGAGCCAATGAGCTGCGGGGAAAAGGCTGGAAAAATAATTACCTGCCTTGATTGTTCTGTGAGCAGATAAAAAGTACATATACAGTTCATACAATAATCTTATGTATGTAAAACCCCGTTACGATGTCGGCGACGGGGCCCATCAGTAACTATTACGTGGACTCGCTCATCTCCCACGACAATGAAGACCTCCTAGCGTCCAGGTTTCCGGCCACCGGGGCTCACCCCGCCGCCGCCAGACCCAGCGGCTTGGTGCCGGACTGTAGCGATTTTCCGTCCTGTAGCTTCGCGCCCAAGCCGGCCGTGTTCAGCACGTCGTGGGCGCCCGTGCCCTCGCAGTCGTCCGTGGTGTACCACCCGTACGGCCCCCAGCCCCACCTCGGCGCCGACACGCGCTACATGCGGACTTGGCTCGAGCCGCTGTCCGGCGCCGTCTCCTTCCCCAGCTTCCCGGCCGGGGGCCGCCACTACGCCCTCAAGCCGGACGCCTACCCCGGGCGCCGCGCCGACTGCGGCCCGGGCGACGGCCGCAGCTACCCGGACTACATGTACGGCTCGCCCGGGGAGCTGCGCGACCGCGCCCCGCAGACCCTGCCCTCGCCCGAGGCGGACGCGCTCGCCGGCAGCAAGCACAAAGAGGAGAAGGCCGACCTGGACCCCAGTAAGTTGGGAGCAATTTTCCTTTACAACCGGCGCGGGAGGGGAGGAGAGGCCGAGCGGGGGGAGCCGGATTACAGCCCCTCCGAGTGGCGCAGGGAGCGCGGGAGAGGGGTGAGGGCGAGGGGGTGAGGACTCAATAAAAGCGAATTACCTTGGGGAGCTTTCAGGGGCAGGAAGGTCTGAAAGGGGGCCCCGAGGAGCCAGGTTGGGAGAGGGCTGAGGGGGGCTCCTCTCCCAGGAGCAGGTTTGGAGGAGAGACCCCCGCCCTCCACACCCCCAGCCCAGGCTTTTTGGCTCAGTCGTTACTTTCGAAGAAATGCAGACAGGGCCATGGGGCTGGGATGGGGGCGAGGTTCATTTTATGGTTTGAGGTGGGATGGGGCAGAGATGAGGAGGACACTAGGGGCAGGGAGAAAATTCACCCTACCTCCCAGCCAGCATGGGGGGTGGGTGTCCTCACACCACTGGAGATTAATAAAACTCAAGGTCTATGGACTTCTCTCCCAGGACCACTGAGTGCAGGGTCTGGGGGAACTTGGAGAGACAGGACTTGCAGAGTTGGGGGAGAGAAGTGGGGTCCCAGCCTCAAACTTGAAAGCCCTCTTCTGAGGGTCTGCAGGAGAGAAGGTAGAAAATGGGGGTGTCAGGGATGAGGAGTGGGGAGAGACATCTCCCCCGATTAGAGAATTACTCTCTCTCTCTCTCTCTCTCTCTCTCTCTCTCTCTCTCTCTCTCTCTCTCTCTCTCTCTCCAATCTGGGAGACAGGAGCCTTTAAGTGTTGCAAAGAAGGGCAGGGGTAGATGGGGAGGGGCAGGTGGGAGCTGTAGGGCCAGGGAAAGGAGAAAGAAGGGAAACAGCAGGGGAGGGGTGCAGCCCCCTGGGTGTGAGGAAGTGTCTGGGGGAGTCCCAGGAGGGGGCTCAGGAAATCCTTTCCTCCAGCCCCATAAGGGGCCAGGGCCTAATTATACCCCTCTGAGCCTTCCCTCCTTGCCCTCAGCTACTCTCATAAACCTGAAATTGGAGGCTTAGCTCCTGCAGAGCCTGTCCTGGGGCTGGCAGGAGGCGTGGGGGCCCTGGAAGTCAAACAGGGAAGCTCACATATAGGGGGGCCTGATTCCAAGGCCAGCAGCTCTCTGGGGAAGAGGAGGAAGGCTTTTCCTAGCCCAGCATCACCCTGAGAATTCGCCTCAGCAGGGTTGAACTCGGAGAGCGGGGATGAGCAACAGCGCTGGAGAGGGTAGTGAGGGGCTTAGGGACTCTCAGGGTCAGGAAGCAGAGCTGCTGAAATTTCAGGACTTGGTCGTGGGCTGGGTGGATGGGAGGGGGCAAAGGAGGAGGGAAGTGGGGAGGAGAGAGACCTCACTATAAAAATAAAAAACAAGAGAGAGAAGCATTTATGGGCCTGTGAAACAGTTGGGAATTTGGACTTTCTATGAGGATATTCTCCAGTTACTGCTCTTGAAGCTGAGGGCCAGACTGTTGGGGCCTGGGTAGCTTTGATTTCCTACAGTTTTAGGAAACTGAAGTCGGGGGACATGGGGAGAGGGGCAGAATGCAAAAAGAGTGAGGGGAAATGCCTACAGCAAAACGTGTCCAAATTCAGGTTCAATTATTGGGTTTTGATAGCCTGGCTAAGACTGGGGGTGGAGTGGCAGGGATCCTGGGCTGGAAAGGGTCTCCACTGACCCCTGCCTGTGTTTGGCCCTCCAGGCAACCCCGTGGCCAACTGGATCCACGCCCGCTCCACGAGGAAGAAGCGCTGCCCCTACACCAAGTACCAGACGCTGGAACTGGAGAAGGAGTTTCTCTTCAATATGTATTTAACCAGGGACCGTCGGTACGAGGTGGCCCGGGTTCTCAACCTCACCGAGCGGCAGGTCAAAATCTGGTTTCAAAACCGGAGGATGAAGATGAAAAAGATGAATAAAGAGAAAACCGACAAGGAGCAATCCTAAACCCTGGCCCGGCCTGCTGCCTCGGCACAGCCAAGGGAAAAACAAAAAACCCCACAAAAAACCCAGCCCAGGCGGGAGAGAGCACGAAAAAGGAAAGGAAAAAGCAAGATAGAGAAAAGCCAATCAGCTTAAAAAGAAAAAAAAAAAAAAGGAAAGGGAAAAGGAAAACTCTTGCGATTTGGGAGGGTTCAGTGTTGAGAAATTGGTGTTTTAGAGTTAGTTCTACCCAGCGAGGATCAGGAGGCGGGGAGAGAAACCGCATTCTCTTCTCCTGCGCAAATGAAATAAATGACACACACAATGTGATTTTTTTCCTCCTTTCTTCAGAGAAGCCAGTACTTGAATCGCTATATTTCTATTTTTTTTTCCTGTATCATATTTGGTCCGGGCCATCTCTCCCCAGGCCTGGGGTGCTCTGCGTGCAGATTTTGTACAAAAAAAGATACACATACACATACAATAATGATTCCCAGCCCAGGAGCTGAGGGGCGAGGGCCGGGGATGGTGCCGCAGGCTGGGTCCAGCGCGCAGGCCGGTGCCTCGGGCGTGTACATAGCCGTGTTTCCTATCATCCCCCCGCGTCCGTCCTGTAACGTGCTTCTGTTTGTTATGGTAGAACAGCTCTGTGTTAATATATGGAAGTCACTTAAAAAACCAGAAACCCAACTGCATCCAGTTCTCATTATTTCTCCTCCCTGTGGCTCCCAGGCTGCTGTCGTGGAGGAGGCAAGTGCTCAGATCCTTTGGGGGAGGCTGGAGCCAGGAAGGGGCTCTCTTGACCTCCGGAGGGCAAGTGCCTGCTGCTTCTCTCCAGGCTGGGTGGGGTGGGTGAGGGCTCCAGGGTGGGTGGAGGCTGCTTAGGCCTGGGTCCAGTTGTGCCTGCTCTGATAGCTGCCTAGGAGTTTCCTGGTAGCTCAATGGAGTCCAGGGGGGTGGGGGCATGGCATGAATGGCTTTCCCTCACTGTAATTAATTGTAATAATTTATGAGTACAGGAGATCGGAGGGAAGAGATAGGTGAAGATGAAAGTTGGGTGCTGGGTGAGGGCCCGGGCTGGATTCTTGCCTGACTGCATCGGTGCTTCGAGGGATGGCTAGGGGGGTTGAGTAGGGAGGGTGTGCAGTTTAGAGGAGGAAGGCCAGCAGGCCTCGGGGAGAATAGGCGCTGAGGACTTCTTTGAGAATAAAAGGAGGAAGATGAGGGGGGGGGGAGAGGAGAGAGATATATTAAGGAAGGAGAAAGATGGCAAAGCCAATACAATCAGAATTAGATTTAGTTTTCACTTCTCAGTGTATTCTCTGTCTCTCTAATGGTTAGTTTGAATGTTGGTCTTGGGTGCAGGGGTTATGCTGTGCAGCTGCAGCATTTCTGGGGGGTAGTGTGGCCAGGGCCCAAGGAAGCTACTCAGGGATGAGTCAGGCGTGGATCGTTCTCTGGTGGCTGAAGGACCCCAGGCATAAGGAGGTAGAGATGTGTGTCTGACAGCCCGGTGGGACTGTCAGCTGCACTGTACCCCAGAGTGCCCTCCCCAGAACTGGCAGTTTCATCTGCTAATCAGAAGCAGACACAACTGCAGGGTATGCCTCTGCCTGGGCGCCCCCTTTCTCGGAAATCCCCCAATCTGGAAACTATTAAACTCAGACTGCCTGAAATATAGCTCTTTAATATCTCAGGCTGCCCATTCTGGAGAGGGTGCAGGGTGTTGCTCTGAATTCTTGGGGTGTATCATAAAAGAAAATAATTGGGGACCCTAGGCCTTGTGCAGCTCCTGGGCCATTGCATTGTCTTACAGGATTGGTGAGGCACTTGTAGGGGCCAGCCCCTCCCCATCATTTGAATGTCCTACCCCCTCCTTCCATTAAAGGCTCCCCTGTTGGGGGCTGGAGGAAGGTGGGAAGGGGTGAACATTTTGTGTTGATGATATTTTGAGTTGGGCCATCAAAAGTCGCAGACACCGGAGTGGTGTTCCCAGTAGCTGAAGCACCCTCCCCTCTTTCCCGCTTAAGACACATCCTTTCCAATTCCAGAATCCATTGTTTCCTTGGTCCTTTTGAAAGGTGCTTTGCCTGTAGATTTCTCGCTTTTTCGCCGCCTCACTCCTCCCTTTGGCCATTTTGCTGTTCTGTGACCCTGGCCTCAGTTCGCACCCACTGGGGAACAAGGCACCCATCTGCCCGGGTCCTGACCGCGGGGACTCAGGCTTCTCTCCCAGCCCCGAGCTTGGCGGCCTTTCCGGGCTTCCACCCGCCCCTGTTCCAAGGCCCTTTCGCCTCCCCTCGGCCGCCAGCGGGGCCTGCTTCCTGCAGCCTGCCCAGCCGGCCTGAAGGCGGGCAGCAAGGAGGGCGCAGGGCTCGAGGGCCCTGAGGAGAGCGCGGGATCCAGAGCAGGCCCACCCGCCCGGGCCCACTGTTCAGTACCAGCTCAGCCGCCTGCAGGTCAGGATTGGATTCAATTTTTATTTATTATAATTTGTGAGTCAAAACCACCACGACACAACACACATCTGGGGAAAGAAACGAAAGCGGGGGGAAAAGGGGCTAGCAAACGCCCTCCTGCCCCTAATCTTCCCCTCCCACCTCTCCTCTGCTCCTTTGTCAGAATCACAAAACCCTAAAGGTTGTTCCACTTGGAAAGGCAGGGGATAGGTACATTTCCGCAGCACCGAAATGCCACTTTTATGGCGCTGTTTGTCTCCCTGCACTGGATTCTGAATGGGGCCGAACAAAACAGCAGCGCGGAGCTGGCTAGACGTCTGGGCTTAATTGTTTTATGGTTTAAATAAGGTGGACACTCTTCCCTTTGAAATCAGATTATAGGAATGTTTTGTCTATGGCCCACGGAGAACAGGACCTCACTGGCTGGGAGGGAGAGGTGGAGAGAGCGCGCGTGAGAGAGGGATGGGCTGCAAACCAGGGGGCAAACAGCCGGGAGAAGTCAGAGTCCCACCCCAAAGTCCAGCGGGCAGCGGCGGAATAGGCGGTGCGGGACCAGCAGCAGGGTAAGAAGAGCCAGGAGTTCAGGGTGCAGCCTTGGGCAGGTGGTTGCGGGAGCTTCAGAGCCTGCGCCGGCGTGCGCGGAGGTGTTCCCAGCCCAGAAGTGCGCCTGAAGAGGGGAGGAGGAAGGATCGTGGCAGTGCCTTTGCATGGTGTCTCTTAATGCGGGAAGAGAAGGTTTCAAAAAGAGAGAATAGTGTGAGACCTTTGACAGGTTTGTCTCGAGAACTTATAAAACAAAGGAAAAGCGGTCCCGGGGGAACTCCCTTGCAGGGACCCTCCTTCCCCTTCCCCATTTGGAAACTCCTTCCTGCCACTTTTCACCTTAGGGCCAAGCCTGGGACCTGCTTGCTCCCTCCCTCGGCTTTTCCCCCAGCTGGACTGCATTGGAGAAAACGAACGCGAGGTGGCGCTGTTGTTCAATATTAGAGGCGGCGGCGGTGCCCCTGGCCGGCCTGGCCGCGCTGACATTTGAGGCCCGGCTCCTCGGAGCAGTGGCGACAAGGCCCCGCGCCCCGGTCCAGCCCGGCCCTACTGGCTGAGCAAATCAATCCTCTCACCTGCGAGGTGTAAATAAATCGTGAGCGGTGGCGGGAGATGGGCCCTGGCCCTGACAGCAGGTTCGCAAGGGAGGCGAGGGAGGGCGGGTGTCGAAAATAATCGCTTTGCGGAGGAGATAAGAACGAAGCAGGCAGCGCGTAATTAACACAAAAAGGCAGAATGACCCAGACAAACGAACATAAATCCGTGATACCTAGAAAGGCGGTGCAGGCCTCGAGGCGAGGGACAGAGACTCCCCCGCGAGGATGGCTGCTGGTGGTTCTTTATTTCCTGGCTCCCGAAGGGAAATCAACCAGTTACGCATAAAAGAAAAAAACACAATCAAATGAAAGAAAGGAAGAAAAGGCGAGGGACCCCCCAAAAGGGGAAACCAAGTCCGGCCAGGGTTTTCAGGATTGGTGAGCTCTCAGAGCCGGCGGCGGCGGTGGTGGTGGTGGTGGTGGTGGTGGTGGTGGTGGTGGCGGCGGCACACTCAGGACAGTCGCATTCCAAGACACAAAGACCCGGAAGAGTAGCTGTGTGGCAGGGATTTCGCTGGCCCATAAACTGTAACGATATCCCCTCCACCCTCTAAAAGATAAGGTGCAGGCTCCAGAAGGGACCCGACCCGGCCTGCGGAGCCTCCTCTTCCCAGGCAGGGAGGAGAAGTATTTATGACAGTCCCGGTGATCAGATGCTGGGAGCCAGAGTCCATCCGGATCCGCTCAGCACTGCAGAGCAGGCTCAGAGAAGGCAGGGCTGCAACCAAGGCTGGAGCATGCTCTCCCCTGTCGTGTCCTCCACTATCCTGGGCCCTAGGGAGACATGAGGCCCTGGCACAGCCTTCCTCTGACCCTCCCCTCCCGCTGCTCCAGGGTCTATGGTCTGGGCTTCACAGAGTCTGGGCAGCCCCGAACTCAGGTGGGGGTGGGTTTCTCTAAATTCAGAGGATAGAGGAAGCATCTCTTGCTTGGGCATCAGTGAATCTCCTTGGAGAATGTGGCTGAGGGTGGCCATTTCCCCAGAAATTATTTAAATAATAGAGGGGTGGGATGGGGAAGCTTGTTCTCTCAACACCATCCTCCCCTGCACTGCCATGCCTTCCTCCATACCCAGAGCTGGCTTCCAGATGGGGAAGAAAAAGATCTGGTTTCCTACGGCCTCCTTCCTCATCCAGGATGTGGGAGCCTCAGGATGTGGACGGAAAATAGGTAGCAAATTTGTTCATGATGCAAAGAGCTAACGCTGGGCGTGTATTTGTTAGGCATTGTTTTCCTCTGTGCCAGGGTGTGCATGTGTGTGCACAGTATCTGTGAAGTGACAGGGGTGCTTCAAGGCATGATAGTTTAGTGAGCGTGCATTTGATGTTTTTCAGGGTGGAAGGTAGCATATACAGTATCTGTATATCCCCAGTGTACCTCAGTGTTGCCCTGTGTGTAACAACCTCACACACTGTACGGGGAGAGGGCCAGAAAAATCATTCTTCCTCTTCTTCATTCGTATGCACACAGCACACATATCTACAGCTCTCTCACTTTCTCCCTTTTCTCTCTGTCTGTGTTCAGCCCACATAACTGCACGCACATATGGCCAGAAAGGGTGCTGATGAACTAAGGTTCTTTTATTCATTAGAATTAACTTGCATGTGCCCTGTCTTGGGGGTGGGAGAAACCGCCCAGAGAAAGTGTGGGTAAATATTTAAAGAGTGTCTGTTGACAGTTCTCATCCACATCCTGGCCTGGGCAGCCTGCCTGGGGAAATGGGGGGTGAGGTGAAGCCAAGGGATGTCCAGGGCGGGCTGGCATTTCTTATGATGGGGTCAGGGTATGTGGGGTCAGGGTATGTGGGGTCAGGGTATGTGGGGACAAGTGAGAGGCCTGCTCCAGTCTCCTCCAACCTTGATACAAGTAGCCTCCTGAGAAGAAACATCCTGAACCAACCCAGCCAGAAGCCAGAGATCCACCAGCTGCCCTCTCCTCTGTCCCCACAAGCAGCTTTGTACTCAGAACCCCCAGCCAAGCTCCTGGCCATTGCCTGGGCTTCCTGCCTCAGGCAGGAGCTGGCGTCTGAAGGGGCAGTGTGGCTGGGCTGGGTATATGCAGCGACCCCACCTCTTCTGTACCCAGAGCAGCAGCCAGAGAGCCTCAAGGACCCCGGAAGACAGGGCAGCCTCCCACCCAGGGGAGGGGCAAGAGGCATGGCGATGTCTGGTGCCTGGAGTGTTTGGGAATAGGATGTGCTTGTTCCTCTTCAAAGTCTCCAGACTTAAGGACCCCATAGGATTCCGCCTTTTGGTTCAGGGAACCTGCTCTCCCCTGCTGGTGTCCATCCCCTGGGGGCCTTATACCTGTTGAGGTAACCTGAGTTGACCTGCTGGCTCAGGTATCTCTCCCAGAGAGGAAGGGAAAGAGAAGAGGGGGGAGAGGCACCTTCAGATCTGACTGCGCACCTTGGAAAAACTGGCCCCAGCCATTAGCTTGGGCTGGCTACCCCCCCCCCCCCACACACACACACATACACCACACCCCCATCCCTCCCCCTTCCTCTCCTCCCTCCAGGTCCCCCCCAGCTCTGAACCCCTCAACCCCCCCACCATCCCTTCTCTCTCTCTCTCTCTCTCTCTCTCTCTCTCTCTCTCTCTCTCTCTCTCTCTCTCTCTCTCTCTCCTCTCTCGCCTGTCTTCATGTCGTGGATTGATGAACGCGAATCGCGTGTAAGCGCCGCCACCGCCGGGAGTCTGAGGAATTCGCCTGGGCTGTTAAAGGAAAGAGCTAAGTGAGGGAGCGCGAGCTCTACCTACCGACAGTGAAGAGAGCCGCCGCCGCCGCGCCCGCTGCCGCCGCCGCCGCCCGCCCAGCCCGGGAGCTGCGTGAGCCGGCCGGCCGGCCCGGCGCCCCACCCGCCCAGCCCGGCCCAGCCCCGGGGACCAGCCGGCCGGGGGTTCGCTCCCGGGGGGAGGGGAGTTTCGGGGGTACCGGGCGGGGGAGTCTCGAGCCAGAGGGGAGGGGGCGGCGGGTTTTCATGTGCCCAGCATGAGCTCCTACTTCGTCAACCCCCTGTTCTCCAAATACAAAGGCGGCGAGTCCCTGGAACCGGCCTATTACGACTGCCGGTTCCCCCAGAGCGTGGGCAGGAGCCATGCGCTGGTGTACGGGCCCGGCGGCTCGGCGCCCGGCTTCCAGCACGCCTCGCACCACGTCCAAGACTTCTTCCACCACGGCACCTCGGGCATCTCCAACTCGGGCTACCAGCAGAACCCGTGCTCGCTGAGCTGCCACGGAGACGCCTCCAAATTCTATGGCTACGAGGCGCTCCCCAGACAGTCCCTTTATGGGGCTCAGCAAGAGGCGAGCGTGGTGCAATATCCCGACTGTAAATCCTCCGCCAACACTAACAGTAGCGAAGGACAAGGCCACTTAAATCAAAACTCGTCTCCCAGCCTCATGTTTCCATGGATGAGACCCCACGGTGAGAAGCCTTTTCTCTTTCCCCCTCGGTCTCCCGCGCTCCGGGGTCTCCCCCTCCCTTGCCTCCTTTTTGTCTGTCCTGGCTTTCCCTCCTGGCTTTGGGGTCTCCCCGGCCCCACCTAGGTGCCTGAGTGGGTTTCTGGAGGTTGGGAGGTTCAGCTGGGGGTGAGGCACGGGGCTTGCCTGGGGTATTGGGGGGACTGGGGTGAAGGGGAAAAGGTGGTGTCTGGGTGCAAAGGGTTAAAAATCGTTTTCTCACCTCTGTTTGTCTGTCTGTCCGTCTCTCCCTCTTACCATCTCTAAGATCAAAGTTGGTGAGGTGGCTGGGAACGGGCCTGAGGACCCTGAGGTTATCAGCCTTTGGAGCAATCAGGGTCTCCATAAGGCACAGAGCCTTCATCCAGGACAGTGGGCAGGCTTTCCTGGGGTGAAGGGAGACCCCTGTCTCCCTCCCCTGTCTGGGCCAGAGGGTGGTAAGACCCCAAGAACAGGTGCTCTGGCTCTCTGGGGGCACCCCCTGCCTTCTGTCAGAGAGCTGGCCTTGGGGCCACTACCCCAACTTCGCTGTACAACATTGCAGAGAAGAGAGGAAGCCAGAGAGGAGAGAAGAATGCTCTCAAGGAGGGACCCTGCCGATTGGAGGGCTCTGAGGTCCTGGAGAGCCTAGCCAACCTACCCCCAGTCAAAGGCTAGTTGAATCTCCTGGAGACCCTAAGAGTGACGCAGGTCATGTGCCCCTCAAAGGGTGGCCCCTCCTGGCCCAATTTCGAAGTAAAAGGGGAAGCGAGAAAGCGACAAGTTCCAGCGGGGATGGCCCGTGATTTATTTGCTGGTCTCCAGTTAGCAATCAGGCCAAGCAGTGATACATTCCAGGAGATCAATTATTTTCCTTCCTGGCAAAGCCTTAGTCAGAGAGATTTGATGAGGAGACAGTGAGCAAAGCCCCTCTTCTTTACCCCCAGACCTTTTTCCTTTTTGGGGGGAAACAGACTGTCCCCAGCCCTGCTCGCCAAATGCCACTCTGCACTTGTAAACAAAGCTGCAAGGGCCCTTTTCCTGGGACTGCAGGCCCGGGAGTACCCTGCAGGGACCCCCACCCCCGCCCCTGCCATCCCCCAGGTTCCAGACAGACCCCCTTCCAGCCCCCACCTCACCCACTCCCAAGGTGAAGCAAACCAAAACAAGCTCCCAAACTTTCCTGCCCTTGCCTGCTCTCGCCCATCTGCCCTTGCCTGTTCTGCGGGAGGAAGGGGGACTGGGAGATCGGAAGGAGGACTTTAGGGGAGAAAGAATGGCAGGGGAAAGCCGAGCCCCAACCCAAACATAACAAGACTGGGGTTCTGTTCTGTCCAGCTCCCGGGCGGCGCAGCGGAAGGCAAACTTACAGCCGGTATCAGACCTTGGAACTAGAAAAGGAGTTTCTCTTTAATCCTTATTTGACACGAAAGCGCCGGATTGAAGTCTCTCACGCCCTGGGACTGACTGAGAGACAAGTGAAGATCTGGTTCCAAAACCGAAGGATGAAGTGGAAAAAGGAGAACAACAAGGATAAACTGCCCGGAGCCCGAGATGAGGAGAAGGTGGAGGAAGAAGGAAACGAGGAAGAGGAGAAAGAAGAGGAGGAAAAGGAAGAAAACAAGGACTAAGCAAAAAAGAGAGACCCCCACCCCACCCCTTTAGCAACTCCCTTGAAGTTTCGTTTTATGGTAGCGGATAAATTGAGAAGTTTACGACTGTCATTTGCTTTTATAGAGAATAGAATGACACTCACAACTCTAACTACCTGTCAGATACTTGCAGTTCTGGTTTTATTACCTTTGGACTTCCCCCATCTTTATTTGTTGGGGGGCTGGAGGGGGGAGACTGAGACACAGCGGAAAGTTCGGAGCCTCTGTCTCAGTCGTTGCCCCGACACACACACACTTGTCCCTACCCCCACCCCTCAGAGACCAGCCAGGATTGTAAGGTCTGAGACCTGCCCTCTTTGCCCCCTCTCGCCCCTTCTTGCCACACTCCCACCTCCCTGCTCCTTTGGTATTTATTTTAGAGGGGAGCCCCCCTTAAAATGAAGAAGACTCATGGCTTTGTGTTTATGCTAGGATTAGACTATTAGATTTACTTCTTTTCAAAGGAAAGAAGGAAGGAAGGAAAGGAAAAGGGGAAATGTTTAAAGAAATAAAAAGGTGATAGCAAGGAATATTCCTTCTCCCTTTCTGGGGCTCCCCTCCCCCCATTAGGAAGACCACCCCCAACCCCCACCCCCACCCTTTCCAGAGGGTAGACAGGAACCTGCAGTTGCTGAAAATCCTACCTAGTCATCCCATGGTCACTCAGGCCCATGCCTCCCTCCCCTTCGCTGTCTGATTTCTGTTGTTGGGCCTAGCTTCCTCTGAGCTGCATTAGTGTTAGTGCTCAGAAATCACCATAATCATGAAAACAATAATACTGATAATACTGATAATAATAATAATACTGATAATAATAATGCTGATATCTTTAACATACTACCTAAAGGGAACCTGCAATAATCTTGAAAAATAAAAAAGAGAAATTTTTAGAAATCCTAATATGGGAGAAAAAAAGAGAAAAATTTTAAAATGAAAAAAAAAAAAACCTCCAACGTATTTTATCACTACCTATAGAAAGAAATCCTGCTTTGAGAGTATTCGTAATGCGGTTTTGTTGTCGTTTGTTGCTGCTTATTTCACTAAGAAAACCCAACAACTGAGACTGCCTAGCTCGCCGGTCCTGTGCGCTTTTATTGTGCTTCTAACCCCAGTAGAGTAGAACTAAATTGCACTGAATGTATAGTTAACTCTGTCTTGAATTCTCTGTTTATGCAATGTGCTCGAAAGGAAAAAAAACGTTAAAAATATATCTATAATAATAATTTTTGGTCATTTGTCTTTACGTCCAGCTATGAATGTAGATTTTGTGTCCCGGCAGCCCTGTTCCTGGTCCAAGTACTTTGTATTGTATACGTGAGTCATAATAAAAATTTTAAAAAAGGAGAAAAATATGTGAATCTGGAATGACTTGTTTCTTTCTCCAAAACCCCCTCCCCATGACCTGCCCCTCTTCCCCTCCTCATCCTTTTTTCGTAACACTCTGGAAAAGGTCTCCTCCACTGACCTGGCTTTGGGGTGTGGGGGGTGGAGCTCATGTAGAGTTGAGAGGGCAAGCTGGGCTGGGAGGGCAGGTGAAAGGAGGGAGATGAAGAGGAGGAGGAAGAGCAGTATGCTCTTGGGAAAACCTTGGCTCCAAACAAAGTGGGTTTCTGGATGCCAGGATCCCAATGGGGAGAAAGCATCTCCCCACTTATCCACCTTACTCCTCCTCAGCCCTGGGCTGGGACCAGACAAAGAATCTGCCCCCATGCCCTTCCCAAAGCTAGGCTTTTTATTTCCAGGGCTGGGGCTGAGGAGGAGGCATTGAGGTTCTTTCTGATCGCCACATGCCCCTCATGGCCAACCCTGGGCGGCCAGCACCCACCACTAGAACAGTGAACAGGATGGGGAAAATATGAGGCTCAAGGCAGCCTGGAGGACTTGGCCGGAAGATGCCTAAGCATGAGGAAGCTTAAGCCTGGGGGGACAGTGAAAAGAAGGGGAAAGTGAGTGAGCTGGTACACCAAGCAGAGTGGGTCCACATTCTGAAATTCAAATTCAGTCAGCACAGAGCCATCACTCACTTAACCCACCTGCTCCTACTCCAGCCTCTGCTCTAGTTGTTTCACGCCCAGTCCAGGCTTCACCTTGGCATTTGGGCAGCCTGCCCTGCCCTGCCCTGCCCTCATAGTGCAGGCCATTGGCCTGGGGAGAAGGGACAGGCCTGCTGAGTGCACAGTCCCTCCTCTCCAGCCACAGTAGGGTAAGGAGAGTCTTCATTGGACTCCACATTCTCCAAAATAAAGGGTCAAAGGCTAAGGGACTCAGGGGGGCAAAGCGGTCTCTCACTCTTCCCTGGGGTGGGGTGGGGGGGTGTCTTAGAGAAATCTGTTTATGCCAGTAAGATTCTGGTCAAATAATACCAAATTCCAGAGATACAAGTCATCTGACTCAGTCAGGAGAGGGGGAAAGGGGAGGGGATGAGATCTTCTGTTCTTAAAAACCAGATCCCCAAAGACTGAAATATTTTGAAGCCAGTTCTCTCTCTCTCTCTTCCTCCCTTCCTCTCTCTCTCTCTCTCAATGATTTTCCCAGACTTAGGCCCAGGCCAACTCTTGCTTTGTGTAATTCCACCCCGTCTGTGTCCTGGCTCCCACGCAAAGTGGTCCTGAAAATAGGATTGAGTCGGGGATCGTGGATAGGGAACTACTGCAGCCTGAGAGGGTGCGGATTGAAAGCCCATGCTGGGGGCAGCCGGGAACAGCTTTGAGCGGCTCTGGGGGAAATCATTCGGAACCTGGGGTCCCTACGGAGGGCTACAGAGCCGGCCAGGTAACCCGGTTTGCTGCGCGAGACACCGCTATCCGCCAGGACAGCCCTGAAAGACAGCCTTGAGCTCCCACCTCAGGCCTTCCCACCCGCGCGCATCCTCTCCAGACTCGGGGGGCTGGCGGAGGGCTGTTTCATTTTTAACTGTGGAATTATGAAGGCTATTACTAAAGACCGCTGGTCCAGGAGCTGAGTGGGTTGAACCCTGCACTAAGTGGCTCAGAAGGCTCTCACCTCGTTTTCCCCAAACGTCCCATTCATCCCTGGCCCAGCTCGGCAATGCCCGTGGCCCCAGCCCGGCGTCGCAGGGCGGGGTGCAGATGGAGCGGGTGTCGCTAGAGACGTGGGCCAGACCTCGAGAGCGCCAGCCGCCCCCTCTTGCAGCACCCACTCCCCCACCCCTTCTGCCCGCCGCCTCCGTTTTCTCGTTTGGAGAGAAGAGGAGGTAAAACCCGTTTTATGGGGGAATTTAATTGTGAGCAGGATGCGCTCTTTTTAGAAGCGCGTCTCCCTAACGCTCCCGCCGTCCCATTACGGGAATGGGGACCATTCGGCTGCGGCAGTTAGAACTCTCTCCCATTCTTTACTTTTTTATTAGCCAATCAAAGTGGCTTCCGAAAGCGATTTGTGATTTGTGAAAAATAGTATCTTTCAAAATGCTGAGTTGAAGCATCTCCCTCATTTTGCCTTGAATTTATTATTCTAATCTCAACCGTAGAGACGGGATAATGCAGCTATTAAGTTGGGGGGCAAATTCGTTTCTCTGGATTTAAAAAAATTCCTCATCACGTTCGCTCTCTCTCCCACTTCATCGCTGAAGCCAGGGGAGGTGCGGGCCTACAGGGAATGGGGAAGGAGGGAGGTGAGGCGGGTGCTGAAGGTCCTACACGGCTCCCTGGACCCCTGGACGGAGAGTGGATTGGCCCCTCCATCCTCATCTTTTCCCAATGAGCTGCCCCAGCGGCTGGAGAAGTTCCCCCGCCCCAATTAGAGCGAACTCCGGACAGGTTGTGTCACAGACTAGAAGTAAAATTTCCGGCGAGCTGCCCGCAGGGCTGGCCCTTTCTCCCTGTGGCCCATTGTGAAAAGCTGGGCCAGCGCTTCCTTGTTGTAATTTTTAACTACCTGTTATAAAATTTATGGGTGGGTTTGTAAAAGAAACGAGGTCCCTGCATCCGGCGGAGGGAACTGCTTCACTTCTGTGGGGGAAGCGTGGGGAGGGGATGAGGGACCCCTGTTGGTTGGGGTAGGGCACCCAGCCCTGGGAGTCCCCACGCTAACTCGCTAACTCCGTGTGGGTCCAAGGGGAGAGCTTGGGGCCTTCAAATCTCCAGCTGTGGGAAGAGTGATGGGGCGATGACTGATGGGCAACTAGTCTCTATGGGGACTTTCTTCTGAGCCCCCACATTGGACACATCGCCAGAATTTGGGGTCTGGAGAAGGGTGGGGGTGCCTCGGTGCTCAGAATTTAGTGGCGAAGGTGGACTTTAGGGAGGGATGAGGTTCTTTATTCAATGCCTCCAAGGTGTGTCTCAGCTGCCAGAACGCGCGGGGAATTTTTCTGAAAAAGGCAGGCGGGTGTGGGCTACCAGACAAGACAGAAAGGGCTTCAAACTGCCTTGCACCTAAAGGAAAGAGAAGTAGGAACCAAGATCTTGGGCCTTCATTTTATTTTTAATTCCGAAAATATTGGGAGTAGCTGCCATCTCAACCTTGGAATTGAGAAGACTGGACAATAGGGGTGGTCTTGGGGGGAAATGTATTTTCTCTGAAAAAGGAACCTGGGGATGAGAGGTGCTTTGAGGGTTCTAGAAGCGGCTCCCAATTCTCACCCCCTCCTGCTGTCTCTGCAGGACTGCCCAGGGCCAGTCTAAGCGCTCTGGACTCTGCAGACACGTCAGTTCAGGCCTGCCCCTCCCGTTCCTGTCTGGGGTGCAGTGGGGGGCTGCCCAGACACCCCATTGGGAGGTATGTTGTTCACTTACCAGGAAAAAAAAGGCAGGGGTAAGGAGCATCCCTTGTCAGACCCTTCACCCTGCCAGCCCTCACTGCCCCAATGTCACAAACCTTTGCAAAGCTTCGGTTCCCCCAGAACCAACCTTAATAACCAATTTATTAAGGAAAATATTTAAAATTCGGCATGGCACAGGGAGGCAGCCGACTCAGCGCCAGAACTCTTCCTTGCCTCCTCTCGCATCCCCCTCGCCCTTCCTGCGCCCGACCGACCGGAGCGCGGGCCCTGGGGGCGCGGGCGGTGGGTGGGGTGCGGTGGGAGTCGGGGGCTGCTCCCTCTCGGAGAGAATTGGGTAAACATGGCGACCGCGGCGCCCATTTGCACACGCTACACAAATGCATCGCATTCCCGGTTGTTTGCAGAAAATTTACAGCTGAGTAATAAAAGTTTACGATCGACTCACAAGTTGGATTGGCCACAAGAAGTCATGTGGATTCCATCCATGAACGTGAACTTTTTATTGTGGTTTGTCCGTTCGGAGCGCTCCTCAGAACAGTCCTCCCCGTAAGAGCCTAACCATTGCCAGGGAAACCTGCGCTGGGCGCTCCCTTCATTAGCAGTCTTTTTTTTATTAATCTGATTAATAATTATTTTCTCCCCCCCCCATTTAATTTTTTCCCTCCCAGGTGGAGTCGCCGGAAGCTGGGGGCACCTGGGGAGGGGGGAGGGGAAGAGGCAGGAGCGGGGGGCACCTCTCTCCCCTCCGGACCGCGGCCCCCCAGGGGAGGAGGACTGCGGCGCGGGAGTTGAGGCCGGAGCTGCAGATGCCTCCCCGCCCCTCCCCGCGGCGCTCCCGCCTGCCCCCTTCTTGCAACTCCCCTTAATTTTATTTGGCTTTTTGGTTACTAGGATTATTTTTTTTATTTTAAAATTTATATAAAGTATATATGAGTGTGTGGAGCAGAGACAGGCTCGGCAGCGGCACAGAATGAGGAAAGACGAGAAGGGGAGAGAGAGGGAGAGGGAGAGAGAGGGAGAGGGAGAGTGACAGCAGCGACCGGTAAGTGTTTCCTTATTGGTTCAAATATGTAACTAATGGTCCGTGGCTGGGTGGCGGTTTCAAGATAAGGACGCAGCGACGGGTCTCGGGCAGAGAGGAGCGGGGGTGCGAGGGGGTGGGCGCGTGGGCCACTGTGGGGAGGAGATGTGTGTGTGTGGGGGGGGGATTGGGTTAAACTGGAATATTAGGTAGTCGAGGGGGGGGGAGTGTTGTCCTGATGTCACTGTGCGCCGAAGTTGGGGGTGAGGGGTGCGGCGGGAGGCTGCGCCCGCGGGGCTCAAGGCCGGGTCTAGTGCGCCGCCCGCCGCCCGCCGGCGCTCACCGCGTCCTTACCTGTTATTTGGATTTGCGGCCTCTGGGCTAATGGGACCGGGACTGAGGGGGCCCAGAGGCGCCAACTCCAGGGCGGAGGAGAGGACCTGTAGGCTGCGGCCGGCGCCCCCCAACCCCCAAACAAACTTTGCAGCGCCCCTCCCCGCGGCGCAGCCCCCTCCCTCCCGGAGAGCGTGGCTGCCCCGGCTCGCACATGCGCAGTGCGGGCGCAGGGCCGGGCCGCGGAGCAGGAAGAG